ACAATTTTGAAATTGCTCTCAATTCGACAATTCTGTTCATGAAATGTAATTTTTTATATGTATGGATTGCTCGAGTTCTTAAATTATGGAAAATATAAAAAAATTTGAAAATAGTAAATTTTGCTAACCAGGGGGGTGGTCAACTTTTGCTCTCCTAAAAGTGGCTTGCGCACGGAAATGACAAACGGTATTCTTTATTTGAGTTCATGTATGAAAAGTTCGCTATTTGTTGCATTTATGATAAAATTTCGGCAGGATTTTACCGAGTACAAATCCTCCGAAAAGCCTATGAAAACGTTACATTTTTCTTTGTTGGTGCTGTTCTTGCTTCATTATGAATTCATTTTTACTCCCATGAGAGTTCCATGGAATTTCCATGGAATTTGTGCTTTCGAGTTGTTTGTGCTGAAACGCATTCTCTCGTATAATACCCCGTACACTTTGAAATGGCGATGCCACAATTTACCCCGCAGCAGAGAGCTTTTATGCATGGTATCAGAGTTCCTCCGTAGCAACAACATAAACTTGGTTCGCCAAAGTTTCACGAGAGAATATCCAGATGAACGATGCCCTTCACGTATAAAAGCTCTCTGCTGCGGGGTAAATTGTGGTATCCCCATTTCAAAGTGAACGGGGTATTATACGAGAAAATGCGTTTCACCACAAACAACTCGAAACACAAATTCCATGGAAATTCTATGGAACTCTCATGGGAGTAAAAATGAATTCATAATGAAGCAAGAACAGCACCAACAGAGAAAAATGTAACGTTTTCATAGGCTTTTCGAAGGATTTGTACTCGGTAAAATCCTGCTGAAATTTTATCATAAATGCAACAAATAGTGAACTTTTCATACATGAACTCAAATAAAGAATACCGTTTGTCATTTCCGTGAGCAAGCCACTTTTAGGGGAGCAAAAGTTGACCACCCCCCTGGATAGCAAAATTTACTATTTTCAAATTTTTTTATATTTTCCATAATTTAAGAACTCAAGCAATCCATACATATAAAAAATTACATTTCATGAACAGAATTGTGGAATTGAGAGCAATTTCAAAATTGTCTTACTTTTTTTGATACACCCTGTATATATAGCTTCTTTGGGTACTTATAATGTAGAAAAATGGAAAAAATTTCTCGAACTCAAATTTTGTGAACCAGGGGTGTGTGTCTTTTCCAACAAACTAAAAATGGCTTGCGCACGAAATTTAAAAGCTTTAATCATATATTAAAGGCACAGTTCAGCCTTTTGAACGATGGTTTTTAAGGCGCATTTCAGCCCTTTTGATTGAAAAAACTAACTAGGAAAATCAATTAAGTATAATTCAAAATCAGTAAACTCGATGTTTTTAACATTTTAAAACATTTTTATTGTTAAAAACATTGAGTTTGGTGATCTTGAATTATGCTTAATTGATTTTCCTAGTTAGTTTTTTCAATTAAAAGAGATGAAATGCGCATTAAAAACCATCGTTCAAAAGGCTGAACTGTGCCTTTAAGTTAACAGATGGAAAGTTTGTTGGGTGTTTAATTACTGTACAAAATTTCAGACAATTTGCTTCGGTTTACGCCCTTTAACCATTCACGCAAACTTACATTTTTTCTTAAAAAATCACCATTTGCATGCTAATCAATGCCTTTGCCTAATTTGCATATGTCAGCAATATGCAAATTAGGTAAAGGCATTAATTAAGCATGCGAAAGGCTAATTTTTTAGAGAAAAATGAAAAACTAAAGCAAATTGTATGAAATTTTGTACAGTAATTAAAAACCCAACAAATGTTCCATCTATCAACTCAAAATATGATTAAAGCTTTTAAATTTCGTGCGCAAGCCATTTTTAGTTTGTTGGAAAAGACACCCCCCCCCCCTGGTTTACAAAATTTGAGTTCGAGAAATTTTTTCCATTTTTCTACATTATAAGTACCCAAAGAAGCTATATACATCAAAAACTGGATATTAATAGCTGTTTTGCGAATTTAGGAGCAATTTCAAATCTGTGCAGTTATTTTTTATACATCCTGTAGTTTAAAAAACATCCTATCAATCGCATACAGAAAGTCGAACTCTTGGTTTTGCCTGTGATTTTGAGCTAACCGTTGCAATGCTGTCGCCATGGTCCTAGCCAGTGTGCTTATGAGATGCATTCACCCCTCTGAAAATATTCAAAAATGGCGGACGTTCAGGGGGTGAATGCCGCACTCACTATAGAAACATGGCGACAGCATTTTGATGTGAGAACCATTGCGAATCATGGCGTGGCAGTGGTTACGCTTTTTTTGCCTAGTCGAGCCTCTGTATGTCTCTATTCTGTCATTTCTGTGATACTACCACACTACAAAATCCAGCAAAATTGCAAAGTACAAGAGAACAAGGCAGAACAACACAACTGAACACAGAGGAACAAAACACAACATGCAGCATAGCAAAACACAGCATAGCAAAACCCAATACCCTATTACAATGAACTCACCCCAATAAGCATCACAAATTATGTTCTCATAAAGCATCAAGCCAGCAAACGAATGTTCCAATCCAGACCATGCACCCTAGGAAAAACGAGAGAGAGAGTAAAACAACGAGAACTATACCCTTACAGTATTGTTTGTGGTTCAACGTACAAGATGTAAAGTTTCACTACGTCGTCCTTATACAGTATAAACTGACCTAAGTTTAGTTCTTTTTATACTTCCGCGTGTTTGCTATTGGTTTACTTTGCAAACAACCATTTTCTTTCCCCCATTAGATATAAAATCCATTTTCAATCCAGTTACAAAGGGTCGCAAATAGCGCGACAAAAAATTAGGATCCACAGCAGCTTGGTTATAGTTGCAAAGTAACTTGCGTGAGAAGGCCACTCCGGTTATATTGTCACTATATAGGCGTACGAGAGGGAGGGACCAGGTGGCTACAGCCTCCCAGCCATGCAGTAAAAACGCTGGTGGATTCTACTTAAAAATCGGGCAATTTGCTGGCCATGCATTAAATTCGTCAGTTTTGGCATCACGTCTGAATAGGATCTTTGCTGCATACGTCGGATAATTCGATTAACGGCTAACATCATCAACAGTTCAAAAAGTCAGAAACAAGAGTTTCTTTATAATGGATAATTAAACGTCCGGTTACGCAATTGATATCTAATAAAATCGGAACCTGGGAACCTAGTTCCCATAAATTATTGATAGCTCTAATTCTGAAAATTAGACTGATTGAATAACTAAATTACTAAATACCTAATTATTGAAATGATTGAATACCTCATTAATCTATACTAACTCGATACCTACACAGCGGAACAGTTCGGAACGAAAATATCCATATACTAAACTTATAAAACTACAAGTTTTCTATATACTAACCTTATAAAACTATAGATATTCACATACTAAACTTATAAAATTTCTCAAGAACGAGTCACAAACTGGTCACTTTCAAGCAAGCCAACCACAAACTCTGTTCATTTTAGGTTGGTATTTACAATCAAAATTGTTATCCATGCATGGATTAGTTAAACTAAGTTATTCTGGAGTACCAAAAACTAAGACATCAGACACGATATATTAATATTGCAGGTTATTTACCTCCAAACTGTACAACAAGGGCACTGGAGGAACTTTCTCACCAGCTTCAACATCCCAATACGTAATATGCAATCCTTTATCACGACTATCAAAAAATGGTCTTGGCTTTTGCGTTTCTATATTGAAATATTCACATACATGAGACGCAAACCATCAAGGCATATATAGCACAGACACGAACCAAAGTCATTAGTAATAATAGTGTTAATTCTGTGATAAAGTCGGACTAAACCATTCTGTGATTGCCCATGCAAGAAAAACTAAACAAGAAAAACTAAACAAGAAAAATTAAACATGGTTTCTTTAACGTGTGTCTATTTGGTCTAAATCAAAAGATATTCAGAAGCACATTCAACCTAACTTACTTGGGTCAAAAGCCTCGACACGGTTTCTTTCAAACACCCAGCCTAAATGTGACTGCATGTGGTCCTTAGGAAGCAATGGACCCAGGCCAAGAGAATATGCCCACCATTGACCAATCAATGCATCAACGAATGTACCTAAACATGTAGAGATGAAGTAGTTGCAAGATCTTTGTAGATGGAAATACTGGTTTCTCGAAATACAGTAGCAGATTAAATTATATCGTTGATCACAGGGACGCCGGGACGACAAGAGGGCAAGGGGAGCAGATATTTGTTTAGGCACTTTTTAATGGATATTTATTCAGGAAGGTTCACTCAAGTAAGGTGTCAAAACGTTTTTACCTCAATTGTAACTTCACTGTTACAAATCTACCTATTACCTGAAGGTAATATTGCAATATAGCATCTCTAAATTCGTACACAATAAGGGGCGTCTAATGGTTCTCCTCTTAAAATGTTTATGACTTTGAAGCTTGATGATGAATCTTCCTGCCATTTTCTGGAAAGAATTCGCTCATGTTGACTTAGTGTAATAAGAATGAACACATTATTTCTCTTGTAACATATATAGGGTTGTTAACTTCTCAAATTAATGGAAATTTTTGTCTTATTTGTAATAAGCACATTTGCCTTTCCCATAATTAGGTGCTTGTCTCTCCCCGTGTCTCCCGATTGATCACACAAATCCGTGAACAATGTGTTCTCGGAAAGCTTCAACATTTATCTATAGAAATGTTTAGAGTATTTGACAGGTTCCAAACTTGTAATGCGTTCCCACTAAATTTGGATGGTGGAAATAAATACATACTAGGTTTGCACTAATGAAGATTTATATGGATTGCTAGCTTTACAAAATGAAGAATCATTTTATATCCAAAACCAAAACAATTATATCCCAAATTTGCCCCAGAGAGGTCCAGTATAAGGGCCATCTTTATTCTTTAATGGTCCAGTCGTACTACAGGAGGAGTCCGGGGCGCTCAGGGAACACCTGCTGTGTTTAGTGGAGTTAAACCGTACATACACTATACTGTACTCTTCTAACAAATTTCAATCAAGAAACTGCATATTTCAGAATTTCAAACTGTGGTAAGGACATGCATCGCATCGCCACTATGCCGGTTCCCCCGACAACACACAGCACAAGAAAATAATATATAAAGTAACTGTGAAATTTTCACTCACCACAACCCAGTGATTCATCTGGATGCCACTGAGGAGTAACCTGAAAATTAACAAATATAACGAGTGTAATTGGTTGTTTTACAACTTTATAATTAGGTAGAAACCAAAATGCCCTATTCCATTCTTGCTCGGAAATGAGGTCATGTCAGTTAGCTAACAAAAAATTATTCGAAGAGTTTTACATTCCATCTTTTTTTACGAATGAAGAAGACAACTAAAGTTTTTAAAATTACTGAACATGATTTAGCACGATTTTACTTTCATTTAATGGTCTATAGTAAAAATTTGCAGTCAGGCTAAATTAAGGAGCTCAGGATAGTCCTCAGCAGAGCTCAACTGATGTCACACAGAATTCATGAATTTCTACAGGGAGAAGTTTACCTTCCCATGTCAAAATGAATAAAATGTATGTAACTATGATCTATGTTTTAAAACCCAAGATATCTTGAGTAAATGGAATAAGTAACAAAATTATGACGTTATAACTTTGATATGTTTTCATATCAACGTTATGACGTCACTCTGTTTAATATTATGTCAAAACTTCATATTTGGACAGGTTTTGAGTTGACATGACGATTTCACAGATGGTTGTTGGCCAATCAGAAACCATGAATTATTTTAAATTAATAATAATCCTGTAGTTCTTTTAAGTCAAATCAATTAGATTAAATACATTACCTGCGTGTACCACTTTCCGTTTTGAAAGCAATAAGTGTCGAGATTCTTCGAACCAATACAAAACCGTTCATGATATTCTGTGGCAAGGTCCTAAAAAGATAATTAACATGTAGTTGTCGAATTTTAGCAAATAGCAATGTGACTATGTTAATAGATATAACATCACGGGAGAATTCATGCGTCAATCCCCCGTCCCACCAATGCATATAATGTTGGCTATCACATTAAAACTGTCGGGCGGGGCAGGGTGGGGGTTATAGTTACTTAAGTTTGGAAAACCAAATTTGCGACTTTTGCGGCCGGTGCGCCAAGGTTTTTGACCAGGGCAATTAAGCAGTAGCTTTGATTTTTGAAATATTGACACAAAACTCGGCGAAAAGTTTTCCAATCTTTCATATTCTAGCTTTCTATTTCGTTCAGACGTATATTCTACGGCAAATTGTACATTTCAATTCAAGAACGTTCAGGATTTCAATTATTTAGACATTATAGAGGCATATCAAAACACAACTTTTAATATTATACTTGGAGTTTTTAAGGCAACACAAATAACATCGTACAGTATTAATGTGAGGGTTTAGACAGTGGTGTAGAAGGGGAGGGGGGGGGGAAGCCCATGTATTGTTTTGGTTTCAGATTTTGAGTAGACTAATGTAAACTATACGTGTTATCCAAGAAATTTGTGATTTTCATGTATCATCATCGTCCATACTCCGAGCATAACGGCTACTTAATGTAGAAGTCAAGCTTATAAACTCTCTATAATATATATATAGTACATACTTTTTCGTCCATCAGTTTAGCCATCTCTTCAGCTGCCCTGTAAAAGTAAAGTCAAAGAAAATTCGTATCCATATCATAGAAATATTAGACCTAGAATGCGTGCTTGGTCACGTGACCGGTGTCCAAATTGAAAACAAAAATGCCCTTATAAATCCACCATGTTGAATTTGAGCATAGGAGTGCAAACGACAAAGTATAAACAAAACTAAAACTAAGTTTTCATCGTCAAAAGGTTTTGTCTTGCTGTCCAATTTGTAGTTTGGGGATATATTTTGAAATATCAAGTTCTTTAAAAACTCGAAGCAAATGACTGTGCAGTTACTGACAAAAACGGTGAAAATCGTGCAGCCTTGTAAAAACAAAGTAGTTTCGCGTATTAAAATATAATTTACTCATAAAACATTTTTGTCTATTATTTCTATGATCCATATTCAGCACTGCTGAAATGAAAGATGTGTTTATTCTGTTGCAACTTAACAAAAGGAAGAAAAGCATACCTTAATGCACAAAGGTATAAACTTCCAATGAATGTATCTATTCCATAAGTTGTGCGATCATACGTGCATGGTTGGGCGCCAGTTAATAGACCTGAAAGTAAAATACACAAGAGAAACTATAAAGCTAGTATACTTATACTGTCTTTGGCTAATATAATATTAGCCATGCAAGCACCATATATCACTAATTCGCTCCTACATATAAGACAATGATAATATTTGAAAATTTCACTAAGTACGGTAAACAATATTAATTAATCTTGATTAAATCTTATATAGGAGAGGAGAAAGTCCAGACTACGTCTTTGTCTAATTTGAATCGGAAAACTCATTATAGTTATGAGTATAATGGTTTCATTTCAAAACTCTTCAAAATTTTGGATTGGAACTATTTGATCTTACAGGGGAATCGCGGACACTGGGGGGGGGAGAGGGGATATTCCCTAATAACTTCTGAAAAACTTTGAATGACAGCCGTATAACTGTGTAGCAAGGCTGTAATAAAGTTATCAACCATGAAAGCATTGGTAAGCTATAAATTAACCTAAATATTGTATGGAATTACTCGAATTTAAATTGGCTCCCTAGGGTTTTTGCATTATATTACACTATAGAATCCAGGAAACTCCTCTTTCTTCACTTTACATGACATGAAGACGGAATTTTTATCTCTCCTCAACATTGCAATTTGCTACTTTTGTGTTGAAAGGCTGTTATCATGTTAAAGGCGTGCTTAGACTAAAGCTCAAAATTTGTCTTTTCCTGGCCATTTTAAAAATTCCCCAATACTGGTATAATGAGTTTTTTCTTCAATTTTAAAAAATTCTATCGATATGTTTCTTAGAAAAATCAATATTCATCACGTCCAAGTATCGTTGTGGATTTTAGAACTCTTTTTATGCTTTTAACTAAAGCAAAGTTCACGCATTTGTTTAAAAAAAAGTTTCATATAAAGCACTACGTCCGCTCGTATTTTGAAGTCACACGAGTTACACGCGATATTTTACATATACCGGGTGTCTCAAAAAAAGTATCGGTGTTTGATTTAACATAATGTAAAAACTATACCAGGTATGACTTTCAAATAAGTTTATAATAGTATTAAGAAAATGCTAGATCTTTCATTTTATATTGGGCGAGATATAAATGTTTTTAGCCAAAGTTCGGTTTGAAAATTGGCGAAAAAATCGACTAAAACGGCTTATTAAATTTCTTTGAAGACATTTGCTATTTTTTCGGGAGTATTCAAAAATTTTAAAGAAATTAGCTTCAATCTTGTATTATTTTATGGTTTACATAAAATATTTTGACCTTTGGGCCTTGTGGGAAATGAAAAATTCGAATGCCAAAGTTCGAATTGAAGCAACAAATCTGGAACGTCCCGCATTCAGCAACAGCCTAGGAATTTGAGACAGCCAGGCAGTTATCTTAGCGTGCCAAAGTTTAGATGCACAAATGATACAAAGCGCTTTTTCTGGCAAGGTTAACAGAGCACGACGTTGTATAGGTGTTCAAAGACATGCTTTTTCAGATGAATAAATCATCGAATGTGTAAATATTATTTATCGTGCGTTGTGTTGACAAGAACAGCATTAAATTAAATGTTAATTTGATAGGCCGATTTAATGTAATTTTAAGCATTTTCAAAATTGCTTCTTCGAAATGAAACTGTAGTATTTCATTCAATATTGCTCAAATATCTTAAAGTCATATATCAAAATTTAAGTTACGCCTTTCTGAATCCAGTGAAGTCTATTTGATTGAAACTCCATGTCCAGTTTTAACGGTATAACAAATCAAACACAGATACTTTTTTTTGAGACACCCGGTATAACGTAACCCCCGGGAGTAAAATCCTTTCTGTTTAAACTACTTTATCTTTTTAACCTTGACAAGCATTAAGGCAATATACGTTATTATTTACTAGGGAGCCACCTTAAGGCAGAAACGTTTAAAGAATTACGATTTCCAGCTACAAAAGGTATCATACGTTGGCAAGCTAGTGCCCCCCCCCCCCTTCGTGGATGCGCACTAGATCTTGCTAACTTCTACCTGTCAACAGACATACCTTGTTTATCCTTATCCAGTTCATTCATATAACGTCTCATCATTGCTTTGATTTTAGGCCAAATTTTGTCAACAAAAGATTGGGGAGCAAATTGACGGATCTAAATATTTTTTTAAAATGTCGTACATTAATTCACATGATATAATGACCATCATGTACATAATTACCATGTCCACATCAAAGGTTGTCCCGAGTAAATATCTGTAGGTGTCTTTAAGAGATCGTTTGAAGGAGGAAAGGCTGGAGAAGCTTGTAGGGGGAAGTATTTTACAAGCAAAATTCCATAATTTAATTAACAGGGTAAAGCAAGAAGCTTGGAAGGTGGACGATTTGCAGAAGGGAACTCTAAGAGTTAGGATAGGATTTTGACAGAGTCGGTTTGACAAAAGAAACAAAGTTATAAATATGAAGATCAGTTTGTCCGGAAAGTATATGCCTTCATGTAGAACAAAACTAAGTCCTTAATTTACCTGTCACAATACAAGGGGAGTAAGTCAAGAATTGTTGTTCTCTGTATAAAATCTTCAATCATGAATAGGCTTCCTATTCATTGAAATTTATTTTAATGTCATTGTACGTTTTATTTACCTCACGGTAAGCCTTTAGGACTGTTCCTAGATCTCCATCAAGACAAATTGAGGTTGATGCTAAATCAGTAATATTATCTCCATCCCACCAGTTCCAGCCCTCCCAGTCTCGCTTCGCCAACAATGGCATTGTTGTACGACTATATAAAAGAAACCACAAGTAGTAAGTCCTCTGCTTTGTATCATTTGATTAAATCAATTACCAATTCAGTTCATGATTACACTTTAGTTTGAGGTTTGATTTAATATGGGTGCATGGTAATGGATGATAAGCCCTGGTCAGCGTTGTTTCAATTCGTGATAGCATCGATGAATGACTGTAGTTATAATAGGGTCTCTACATTCGGGAAGTAAAAGTTTTAGGGTAGGGTTACGTTAGGCAAGTCACATCGATGTTACGACTCGCCTTCTACAAAGAGCTTGGAACTAATAACAGGACGGAAATCTAGTTTGTTGTATCTAATGACTTTTCTTTCTGTTCCAATGAAACCAGTCCAAACTTTGGAACTATTGTTACAGTTAATTAGCCAAGTTCATCAATGAGCGCGGGCGTCGGTCACCAACGATGGTGAGTGGGTGGTCATCCTCACTGATCTCAAAAATATGGCTGATTGCGTGTAGGAGTGGGATAAGCAAGATTTCAGTTTTAAAAGACATATATTTGGAAAATCGTTTCATACACAAGCTTGAAGCAATTTTGTTTGAAGAAATGAGAAGAAACTGTACAGTTATAATATTTTTTCGTTGCTCCCCACTTAAAACAAGTAAAATTTTCAAAGCTCCCTCCAACAGGCAAAACAAGAACATGAATTTTTGTCCCCCCCCCCGACTCTAGCTTTTTAATTAGAGAAACAAAAATAGAAAATGGGGACCAATTAACAATTCCCATTTATAGACTAATTTTTTATCTTAGCAAAAAAGTATTTTCCCGCAGGGTTCGTGGTCTCCAAGACCAAAAAAATTCCAAGACTTTCAAAGATTTTTTCTGCCTATTTTCAAAGAATTTTCAAAGACCTTTTGAGGGCAATCAGCTGTCGAAAAATTGCGAGTGTAAGCACCATTTTTACCCAGTAATTAGTCCCGTCAAATCACATCCTAAAATGCGCCTTTTCGTCGATATTTGCGAAAATCTTGCTTCAATCAATCTATTTTATTAGCTAGGAAATCGTATAATCAAATACTCACTAAAGAATTCAAAGACTTTTAAAGACTTTCTTCGCTTTTTCACACAATTTAAAGACTTTTCAAAGACCTCAAAGACCTGCATTCCAATTTAAAGACTTTCAAGGATTTCAAAGACCACTACGAACCCTGTTTTCCCGGGAAGAGCATGTAAAATGAGTAAAATAGCGAAGTTTGGTTGCAAAATGTTGTAAAATAAAGAAAATATAGCCTTCGAAAGTTTGCAAATTTTGTATACTTTTGTATTGCGTGTGGCCGGTAGCAATTTCCGCATGCAATACAAAAGTATACAAAATTTGCAAACTTTGCAAGGCCATATTTACCGGATTTTACAACATTTTGCAACCAAACTTTGCAATTTTACTCATTTTAGTATGCTTCTTCTAGCTGTGGTTTTATTTGCATCTCTATGCCTAGTTTCAGAATTAGTCCATAATGGGAATTGTCTATTTACCAGCATGAACATGAGAGACTACCGGGTGGCCCAAAAAAAAGTACTCCGGTTTGATTCGAAATAACTTCTAAACAAGTAAAGCTTTTAAAGAGAAATAACTTGCATCAAATAGAGGAAGGACTAACTTAGATTTTGATATATTACAGTTGTATTTCACTTAAAAATTCACGGAGATATTAATGTTTAAAATCGGGAGAATATTTTGGGATGTGTCTGAAATATGCCAAAAACAGCGTATCAAATATTAATCAAGATTTACCCGACTGAAACATGCACTATTACCTGTAAATAAATGACACTTGACAAATTGTTTATTATGAAACAAAGTATTATTATCTACAAAATACAAGCAAGATTTATGCGTCCGAAATCCGCGTGTGTTCCTAGCACGAATACGTTTCCTTATTTCATGAGACCACTGCATCGCGAAGGATAGTCATGGATCGTTCGTAGTTCTGAATTAGGGCACGCTGTCACATTGGAATTGTGAATTTTCTCACTTCACATTGAATGAATTTTGTAACTTCTGCAACGTTCTGAAATCTTGTTAAGAACACCCAAACTCTTTTGCCTTTCTTAATCTTGGCAAGTTCAGAATAAACTGAGAATGAAACACAATCAAACCATACAACTCCATAAGTAAAGACATAACAAGCAACTCCCCAGAGACATCCAACATTTTTGGAACAAATCGTAACAAAATAGTATCTTTGATACTGTGATGTGTATTTGCAAAAAGCAATATTATTTCCTCCATTAAAGAACAATATTCATCCTGCTCTAACCGAGAAATAATCAACTTTGTTTTGAACCCATGAAAAACATAAAAAATAGGTTATTTAAGAAAAATTGAAGCGCCTGCCTTGCATGGTCTTTCATGTACCTTAAGTTTGCAAAGACCTATTAAATACTTACATAATTTCGAACGTCCATATTTCAGGAAACAATGAGTTAAGACTTACATGTAAGATGTCTAAATCTACGCCATATCCCTTACAAACCCTAACGACAATTCGCCGAAATACAAGTTACCCTGATATGTCATTAAGCAAACAAACGCTGGAGTTAAAATTTGATACGCCGATTTTCGCTAATTTTAGACACATCCCAAAATATGCTCCCGATTTTGAACATTAATATCTCCGTGAATTTTTAAGTAAAATGCAACTGTAATATATCAAAATCTAAGTTAGTCCTTCCTCTATTTAATGCAAGTTACTTCTGTTTGATAGCTTTACTTGTTTAGAAGTTATTACAAATCAAACCGGAGTACTTTTTTTTGGGCCACCCGGTATTTATTTATTTGGCTCCATTTATGAATAGTAATTTGTTTTGTGATACATTTTTAAAACTATAGTAAATATTTTCAAAGCCCCCTCTTTCTGTCTCCCTCTGTATTTTCTAAAGCCCCCCTTTCCTTGTGGTTTAAAAATTCGAGAGGTCTCCCAGTTTCTCCTCAACCCCCCCCCTGTATAATAAATAATAAGCGGTTCCTTATGGCCTTTGAAAGTCAAGCGAGATCGTATATTATCAAATTATGCAATTGTCTGAACAAAAATATAACTTCGGCCCCTTTGGACGTATCTTCATTGCAATATTCTTGTTCGAATCATTATCACTAACTACTGTGTGGAGTGTTTATATTTTCGAGATTGTATCTTCAAATTTGTATCTTTTAGTTTTATCACGGTATATAAAAATTTCCGATTTCTGGCCCGACTGTGAGCTAACAACTACTAGCAATCCCAACCGGAAATACAATTTTAAAACATCAACAATGCGACGTTTGTCACGTTGTGCTTGTGCTATGACTCTGGAAATGCCAGAAATCGATTCCAAAGGTCAGAGTGCACATCTATGCTTTTATACGCTCAATGCCTTTTATTTCCCAGTGCTACTATTCTATTCAGTAGATACATGTCCGCCACAGCGGACCTATGTTTGTAAAAATACAGTCAATTTACATGAAATTTGTTTGCGAATTTGCTTTAGAAAACGCCAGAAATTCAGTCCTAGAGCTTCAATAATGTAAATATTTTCTGGGGAGAAACCTCAGACCCCCTATGAGAGTGCCAAATTTATCAATCACAAAAAGCTTTATTATAATTATTACACTTCAAGTACATTTTTAACATTGAAATTCAAATTTCACGTAAAATCCTCCGACACCCCCCCCCCCGGCCAAACGTCAGATGCTTCGCTACGTCCCTGATGGTTGTATATCGAAACCGATTTCAGTTTTAGTCTGCTCTTCTAAATGTATACATGAAATCACCTATAGCTTATTTTAAAACCCGCCAAAAAGTAGCAGTTCCAAAAACAAAAAAGCATATGATTTGTAAGAATGATATGTTCTATGTTGATGGGATATTTAGTACAAACGGGATGAAAATTAAAGAAATTGAAGCATACTGGCGCTTTTGCATGCATTTTTGACAGGCATGCAAAGAAATTTGCAACAGATGCCAGGCGATAAGTTAGGTGGGGGCGAGGTTCTCTAAGGTTCCAGAATATTACCCTGATCCAGGAAATCCCGGCCACTATATGAACGTGTTCAAAACTCCGACTACGCTGAATGACGGACAACAACCTGTCGATAATTTCGCTCCTAGAGCCAATCTAAAATGATTTTTTAAAATCGTTGCCATTTCATCTGGCGATAGTGAAGTGAAAGAAGCAGCAAGTCGGTAATTTGTTGAGGAGAAGCACGTGCTTGAGTATATCAGACATCCGTTGAGGAACTGCAAATTGTATCTATGATAAGAGAGAACTCCGGATTGTACTCCTTCGATTCCAATTTTTTTTTGGAGGGGGCATTGAAAATTTTAGAAACTTGGAGGGGGCGACGAAAATTTACCATAACCTCAACCTGTAAAAGCTTTTTTCAAGACATCTTCATCCCCTCCCTCGGCGTAAAAATGTACTTTCCCTTATCTCAGTCCTAACCTAAACCTTAGTCCTAGATCGAATTCCTGTTCCTAAAATTCATCCTTCTATGCGTTTTCTTTCCACAAGTTTTGGCGGAAGGATTTTGCGAATAATTTTTTAATTAATCAGAAATTGCTAACCTTGGTATGATAGCGTTTGGTGCAATATTGTGGAGAAGATCAATGTTTCTCAGTTTTTGTTCAAGATCTGGGAAACACCTGAAACATATAAACAATTAATTATATAAGATGTTTGCGTATATAACTATAGAACTTTTTCATCAGCTCACAGTAATCAGCTCCATCTTGAATGGTAATGCATGTTGTATTGTGGGTCGAGACGTCAGTGATGTTGAATTTTTGATTGGACGACTGTACAGTAGTTGCCATTTCGAGTATTGAATTCATGCTCATAAATTGTGTTTCTAATTGGCCATTTGCGTAATAGACTAAATTTTGAACTAAACAAGTCTAGACAAAAATGTCATCACAGCTTGAAGGAGCATCGCAAAATTAGTAATATTCCAAAGTTTCGTTGCAAAATGTTGTAAAATGCGGATAATATAGCCTTGCGAAGTTTGCCGTTTTTCAGTCATTTTAGATTACAAACGGGAAATTGACAGCCCCAAACCCTTCGAGGCTGTCAATTTCCGGTTTGTAATCTAAAATGACTGAACATTGCAAATTTCGCAAGGCTATATTTTCCGCATTTTACAACATTTTGCAACGAAACTTTGGAACATTACTAATTTTGTGATGCTCTTTCAAGCTGTAATGAAATTTTTGTTGAGATCAAAATTTAGTCTATTACGCAAATGGTCAATTAGTTCTATTTTTTTTTAACCTTTGCATATCCCCTCCCGCTAAACCACACAGTAAACCTCCGACTATGAGCCCGAATATAAGCCCCCCCAGTGTAAAGCCCACCACATACTAACGTTCACCACCTCATTCCAAATATAAGCCCCCGAATATAAGCCCACTCGAATATAAGCCCCCGAATTAATATAAGCCTAGTAATCGTTGCTTAATACAGGTTTATTTTCCTGTTTATGACTGACTTGTTTATGTCTGACTTGTTTATTACTAACACAAAAGATCGTCCATGTATAAGCCCCCCCCCGTATAGAAGCCCCCCCTCCCCTTGTATAAGCCCATCAAACATCGCTTACGAAAGTATATAAGCCCAGGGCTTATAGTCGGAGGTTTACGGTAAGCCGTTTGAAATGCATCAAATAACAAATAACAAAACAAATTAACTTGAAAGAACTTACATCCGGCACTATCAGGTATAAAACCTTTCATTACAACCATAAAACCGAAAACTACTGACACTACTGGACGGGTGATGCATGAAAACGAAATTACAGAAACGTTTCTCGTGATATAAACTGTTCTCTACTACTCATGTATGTCAGAGAGGTTCAGATTTTAACTTCCACTACCGCTATCGTTAACCAATCAGATGCGTTTAATCTATCCGACTAACCAATCAAATGCGTATTAAGTCCGTGAGAGGTAGCGAAGTGCAAGTCAGCTTTGAATCTTTCTAATGCCTGCCCCCTTGTTCCACAGAAATTTATACTAAATAAACAATGGACTATTTTATGAGAAAAAATTAGCGAAGTACTGTCCAAGTACCACCATGAGTATTTGGTTATCATCCGGAATCCGACCATCATTTTCCACTGACCAGCAATGTGCTGGTATCCGGCACATCCCTAGAGTGCATGCTACTAAAATGACCAAAACTTACTTTGCAACAGCCATTTCATAATTCAAGACATGAGTGCAGTTCATTGGACAACAACCTAAACATAATTACATTGGTTATATTAAGTAAACAATTAAATTTCATTTGAACAACTTTATCGGACCATATAGTATAACACTAACATAAACTATTCAATGGCCCCAAAGAAAAGATGCAAAACGATACGATAAGTCCCATGTAAGGCACCTCCCTTAACAATTATAAAATATAGACCACTATAAAACAATGAATACTAGTTATAGCATAGAGCAGAACGAGCAAACAGAATGATGAATATAAGGATAAAGCTTGTTTTCGACCTCAACCGTATCATACCGAAACGTACTGGTGAGCAAAATAGGTTGAGCATCAAAATGAAAAGTTTAAGTTTAACCCTTTAAGATGCAATGCGCTCAGATGCGCCCTACTTTTTTATTTTACTCTGTCTATAACGCCAGACGATTTTACTCGTCAGGGGGAGAGTAATTGACTAACAAGGTACACTTAGACGTTTTGTCCAGATCCAAATGGTGCTTATTCATAGTAAAACTTTATGATAAAAGTGATGAAGATTTGGCCATTTCGTTCAATTTTATTTTTTAAACTCACATTTCAAATATAAACAAGCCAAATATTTCAACTATAGCCTGAATAGTCGGGGGATTGACAATATTTTACTATATAGCGTTTGCAGACAGAATTTCGGCAAGTCTCTCGCTGTGTGGAATGGAAAGATCGGGCCTTCGCTCGAAAGATCTTTCCATTCCTTCCGAAGGGCCTTCGCTCGAAACGTCGAGTTTCTGCTTGTTTTTTAAGGTTTACATATAACCACTCAGCACAGCATTTTCAAAACACCGGCACTACCTACACTGGTACAGACAGTTTTAGTAAAGATCTTTCGTTCTTTCTCATTTTCGTGTATGTCATGTTTGGGTGCACGGGTAACAGATGCGGGTATAGAGTGCTGCTTTCCCCTCATCCAGTTCAGCAAACAAGGCGCAGTCGTGAGAGCAAGCGCCTTTCGCCTCTGAGATCGTGGGTTCGAGTCTCGCTATGGACTCATGTGTGGACTCATGTGAAAAGAGTCTGTCAATGCTCTGCCGAAGGTTCGAGTCTCGCTATGGACTCATGTGTGGACTCATGTACGGACTCATGTGTGGACTCATGTGAAAAGAGTCTGTCAATGCTCTGCCGAAGGTCGTGGGTTTTCTCCGAGTGCTCTAGTTTCCTCCCACAGGGAAAGTTGGCAGCGTGGGTTGGGATAAACATAATATCACAATTGTTGTAAAAATAAATAGTCTAAGCTTAGTAGGTAATATAAGTAAGCGTAATACTTGATGTAATTGGTTACTGAAAAGCCCCGATGCTTGGGAGTGAGCAGAATAATCATAATCATAGGTAGTACGTGTGTCATAGCCTCGGGTGAATTGCGCAACCACACTCTGTGTGGTCGACATTAAATTTTCATTATCATTATCTACATGTTTTGGCGGCTGAAATCGAGTTAAAATCAAAATTCATTCCACAACAGTCATTTAACAAACACAACGATCTATTGAGTTGAAGACATAAACATTTTCCTTACCAGAGGTTTTGGAACAACCTAGAAAACACAAAAATAAAACATAAATTAAGCTTGGGTGTGATAATCATAGATATGGTGATAATACGTTACGTATACCAAAGGTACGCCAATATTACGACCTGGTACCTCTTTGTTTTCAGCCAAGTACCACGTGGGTACGCGTACTTACTGGTACCATATAACCTTTCGAACCCCCAAAGTATTCAAAACCGTAATTAAATTGGTATATGTATAACTCTGGCATGAAACATGATTTCACTGATGGGAACAAGGAATGTTGGAGTCGATTAGCATTTCTCACGCCGCCATTTTTGGGTCGCTTTTCAGCCGACGTCTGCGAGATAAGTCCACATAACAGCGGCTTTTTATATTTCGTCATTGTGAGAGAGGCTAATTGCATGTGATTCTATATGTAATTTCAATACGGTATATATACCAACACGCGGCTCATTGCGGTGTTTATAACACACCACTTCAACGATCCGTCGAAGTGGTGTATTTTGCACGACGTATGCAGGAAATATATTTTAATATATTTAAAATACGCTATTATAATAATAACAGACCTTCAAAACAAAACAAATTAGTATCCTCACACCAAAAGAATGACGGAGACCTGATAAAATGACAGAGAAAAAATGAAAACATGCCACTGTAGGAAACGTTATTCATGATCCCTGTTCAGACAAGCAAGTTTTCCTTGAGAAATTTACCATTTTACCTTCTCGTGTGTACGCGCTCAACAAATTTTCCCTTACAATTGTTGTTGCTCGTCAGCTCGTGTGCACGGAAATATTTATCTCACGTCAAGGCCACCTTTTGTTTGCCAAAACCATAGATTGAAGAACTTCTTGTGTCGAGTTTTCCTTATGATGGCGGCCGTACGCACGAACAAATTTTCCTTGTAGAAAAGCTGGCATGAGGCTTCTTGGTAAGGAAAAATGATCATTTTTTGTCGTACACATGCACACATGCATGCTGCACGAAGAAATAAAACTTGCCAAGGAAATCTTGCTTGTCTGTTCAGGACTTACACTCGTAATACACTCAAAATTAATTAAAGAATCTGCCATGAAGAGTATGTCTTTAAACTATCCAAAGAGATTCACCGCCGAGTAAATGTTAAGTTGTAAACGTGCCAAATTTGCCACACCCCAATTTTGGCTATAAGTCCTTCTACTTAGGACAGGCTACACTACTGACATCCTCAACTTACTTCAGTACAGAAACTCGTGCCGCTGCACTGTCAATCAGATGCCACGGCAATGTAGAATCATACATTGCGTCACGAAACTGTCGAGACACCTTGGTGAGTTTTCCTAGAAATTGTCCAGTGTGTGACACGACCTACATTGAAAAACAAATTATAAAATAAGAGGCACTCCAAATCTTTACATATAACATTTATGAAGTAAGAAAACATACACAATATAATATATATACAATGATCTAAGTACTGTATAAAAACTATACAGTACAGTATATAAATTTCAATTGAAAGGTCTCTGTCAACTAAATGTTAAAAAGTAGTGTATACCGCTTGCACATTCTTGAACAGTTTGTTGTAATAATTCCCCAAGTAGTAGACACTTCTGGGATCATTCACCCTATCCCACTTGCAATATCTAAAAGAAACATACAATACACTAGCTCGAGTATAGGAAATTAGGAATCTGAGTCCAGTATGAAACCTGCCATCTGTGAATTTACATAAAGTCCACATTAAACGATATACGTTTTAATTAATATGGCTCTTTTCAAATGTAACATATACAAAACTTTCCATATAACATCAGGCCTTAAAATATCGGTCGGTCACGGACATTGTCCGATCCATTCGTGAAATTGTCCGACGTAGAGAGGAAACCACCGGACATTCTGTCCGACCAAAGTGAAACTGAGGTTTATTGTTTGTCCGACCCGAGTGTATTGGTGTCCGACCGAACTGTAGCTTTGTCCGACGTAAATCAAAATGTACCCTTGACCAGGACTAGAGGCTTGTATGTTAAATGGAAAATCAGAGTACTATTGTATAAAAGGTGAACTGGAAATGTTGTTTTAACGTAGTTGAGCGCGGGGCGGCGAGCCAAATGGTGAAGTGGAAAACGGGCTTAAGTTGTCGAAGTCTTTTTTAATACTGCTGTTCTGGCAAGCAAGTTAATTTTGGCTTAGAAATAAGTATGAAAGAAACAAATTATTTAATATCTTTACAACATTTACCGTTTATTCATTTGTGTCATTCAGACTTATTTCCGAGTCAAAACTGAACTGAAGGTCATCGGACATATGTCCGACCCAAACTCAACGTCACCGGACATTTTGTCAGACGACCCTGGAAAAGATATTTTAAGGCCTGTAACATTCTTTCTCCTTTATGAGAAAACCAATTTTCTGTAGGTTTTCTCATAAAGGAGAAAGAATGTTATATGGAAAAGTTTTGTATATGTTACACGACAAAAACAAAACTGACTATAGTACACGACAAAAACAAAACTGATTTCAGAACTATAGTTGTTTAAAAATTGGAGATTTTCTGATTTGGATATGAATTTCTGGAGAGTTATTATTTGTTTAAAAACAAAGAGTATCTGACTGGTATAACACAATAACTAAGGAGTTCGTATTTAAAAAAAGCTACTCCTAACTGCCGTTGCTATGGTAACAATGACGTCACAACATGGCGGATATTTTATGTTTAAAGTAATTTAACTCGAAAAAAACTTCGGTGGCCCCCATTTTTTATTTCGTAAAATGATTTCTTTTAGTATTTTCAATTGTTTTCATGATTCCAAAAAATTCTATCATGGCAAAAAAAAATTATTACGAATTTTCACATTACGAATTTTCATATGAAAGATATGTAGACCAAATAACTCAAAATGTTATAGCGCTTCTAAATATTTGGAAAATTTAAACTAGGATCAAAGTTATATCGGTCAGTGAAAATCGAAAAATCGCGTCACGAATTTTAAAAAAACCTATAATTTTTAAAAAAACATAGTCCTCAATGCAATGAACGAGTGAAAAATAACGTTTAAATTACCTGTTCGGAAAATGCCACGATAAAACAAAAGTGAAAGTCTAAAAAGAAAAGCAGTTAAGTTGCAGCTAGACTAAATCCTTTCAAGATCCTAAGCTAAGTAACTAAGTTTTATCGCGGGATTTGCTGATAAATCGGTAATCGCTACAGAAAAACAGAACAAATTACAGTAAATCACAACAACCTACAGAAGCGAAAGTGGGACACTTTTTGTATTTTCACTGTAATATAATATTCATACCATCAATATTCATACTACTTCAAAACCCACTATCCACTCCCAATAAATATTGTACCTCTTCTCCTTTGGCCGGGATTTCTCTGCAACAGCTAATTGCTCCAATCCATGTCTTTGATTCCTATTAGGAAAAGGCAAATGAACAGGAAATACATATTGATGGGGATTTCGTAAAAATACACACATTATCACAATATCCACATTTTCTTGTTTCGCCCGCTAATCTAAAGGTGATGCCTGCGGAGGAGACAAGTTCAATTGACTTTCACCATAGACAATCCAAAAGAAATGTCTTTTGGATTGTCTGCTTTCACTTAACTAAAAAACAATTTTCTTCGTTGTGTTCAACCATGCATACCATAAACAAAAGAAAGGTTCAATACTCAGCCTCGTACCCAGGCGCAAATAACGTACTAAAAATAGCAACACTACAGTGTTTTTATGTAGATCAGTGGCTAAGATGAGCGAGCGCGCGGGGGTGCTAGGTCAGGACACGACGGGTTTCCTTCTTTGCATTCTCATGTCCGCCATGTTTGTTACAAATTCTGCCAGGCGCTTCGTTTCCCGAGTCCTCCCCAAGCACCCCCGCGCGCTCGCTCATCTTAGCCACTGATCTACATAAAAACACTGTAGTGTTGCTATTTTTAGTACGTTATTTGCGCCTGGGCACGAGGCTGTTCAATACTCCAGTTCGTGGTTTTGGTCTGAACAACCTCTTGAGCGAGGGTCCTTCGGCAGATTAGTAATTAGTAAGGAAGTTCAGACTTGACTTCCACTACCGCTATCATTAAAGTGCCTATGGCACGAAATTTAACCCCAAAGATTTATGGTTGCATTGTAAAGATCACTTAAAATGACTTAATAATTTCTTTTATAGAATTTTTCTCCCTTTTCAAGATATTCAACTTTGTTTCATATGCAAATATCACCGGTGTGACATCACATCACATAATGAGTTTTCAGAAAAGTATAGTTTTCTTGACGAATACGTATCTAAAAAACTTAAAAATTGCCCTTGTATATGTATTAACTTCATAACTGGTAATTAACCCTCTGTATTTGTTTGTAAAAATATTTTATCAAGGTAAAATACTGCGTTTCAAAATGTCATGCAAAGCGCTACGAAAACGTAATAAGGGCAATCGCGAATTCCAGCTTATAGACTAATTTTTTATCTAAACAAAAAAGACGAAATATATCATAAATTATAGCTCAAAAGAGCATCTTAAAATTAGTAAAATTGCAAAGTTTGGTTGCGAAATGTTGTATAATAAAATATAGCCCTGTGAAATTAGCAAATTTTGAGTATTTTAGTATTACGCGCGGTAAAAATAACCATTTTTGAGCCGAAAGTGTTACTTTTACAGCGCGTAATACCGTACTTAAAATACTCAAAATTTGCTAATTTCACAAAGTTATATTTTCCGTATTTTACAACATTTCGCAACCAAACTTTGCAATTTTACTAATTTTAGGATGCTCTTTCGAGCTATTGAAGTATACGATACCCCATAAATCAGCACTGTATAGCACTGCCACGTTCTTTCCGCATGGAATAGTCCAATTAAAGAATTAACGCTATCTTGCGTAAATATACTTTAACTGATCCGACTAGAGTTTACAAAGTCCATAGCTAGAAACATCGAAGTATTTCAACCTTTTCTGGTAGATTGTGCACAAAAAATGCTCACAAAATGCACAGAAACTCACATCAGACATTCCCAGTGCTCCTTGTCCAGGCAGCCCAGTAGACGTAAATTTGTGCCACATTGACTCGAGCTCAGCATCAGTGAATTGCAACAAGCATCCGTTGGCATCTCCAGTCTTGTTAAATACTAAGGGGTAAATTACGAAAGCCGGGTAGTTACTTCAAACTTCGGACTTCAAAAGTCTAAACTAAACTGGTTTGAAGTCTGAAATCCGAAGTCCCTACCTCGCTTTCATACTAAGGGAGGAAGAACGGTCTGCCAAAGAGGAGGACGTCCTGTCAAAGAGGAGAGGAGGACGTCCTGCCAAAGAGGAGGACGGCCTGCCAAGGAGGACGGCCGCCAAGGAGGACGGCCTGCCAGGAAGGAAGTCCTTCCAGGGAGGACGGCCTTCCAGGGAGGATGAACGGCCTGCCAGGGAGGATGGCCTGACAGGACGGACGAGCGGACGTACTTTACTAACCTCCAATTGACAATTCTCCATTAGTGCCAAAGTTTTCATCCAATTTTGTGTTGTTCATGTAAATACCATAGTATCCACTAAAACAATTAAAATGTAGGGTTCAATTCCTGCAATTTGCTGTTTTCTGATTAAAAATTTTCCCCAGTCACATAAGTCATACAAACACTGTATGACCAGAGGCGCCGGAGCAAAACTGTCCTTCAAAAGTTGTGCGTTATTCACATGAATTGAAATTGAGAACTGTTTTCAAGCACTTTAGCTCAAATTTGAAATAATTAACAAACTGTCATGTTGTTTCACAATACATTTTAGTCTTGCAACGAATAAAAATTTCAACAAACATTGCCGCCTACAAGGCTGAGAAGTAAGTGCCCTTCTTAAATAGGTGCACCCGCTACTTCACGTTACTTCCGGCACCCCAGTATATGACCAGTACACGAATGCTTCCACTTTAACTGTCCAAACACCACACACACCGCAGGTTTTTCCAAGGACACTTCGTTGTAACACTGGACCATTCAACAATTAATTGCCAAAGCGATCAAACACTTATACTCAATGAGCCGTGTAGCGGTGAAATGAATATATAGGCTTTTAATTGGACGCTGAGAGTACTAATTGCATTTAATAGAAATTTACAAGAGAAAAACAAGTGAAAAAAGGTTTAAGTAGTTCAGATTTTTCTCAGATTTGTATAAAAGGTTCTTGTGACTGGTGAGATGTCAGTGATGCTCAATTACGACCGAGCAGAATGCAGGAAATTCAATGGGTACAAATTCTACTGATAAAAACCAACCTTCGTCGGTTAGGTTAATTGGATCAAATATCATCAACATGCGGAACTCGTTGTGCTAATATATAAGGGGCTTTGCACGTCCATGCATGTCCGTTCCACTAGAACAATTTCAATAACAATTTCATAATTACTTTATTCCATCGTATTCAGGAAGATTATCCGTATCGATGTTCCCTCCGTAAGTGTAGAGAGTGTTCTGATTTCCAGCAGGAAGTACTGGCATTAGCACTGTACCTACAAGTTGAAACACATGTGCAATAAGTGATGAGTGAAAGGTTGTATTTCTTTTTAGGGGCATTCGAGACCAAGGTCGGCATTCGACCTAAATGCCGACCTACTGTATCAACCTCCCAGTTCGGCAAATGTTTGCCGACCTTAATTCAGCCAAAGTAAGAATCTTTTTTGTTGCTGATAGCTGTTAAAAAGTCGGCGATTATAGAATTCGATTCGTAGTTCGATTAACTAAACACACTTCGGTGTGAGGTTCAAAAATTGACGGGTATTCTATATATGTAGGTTAGACTCCAAAAGAAAAGCCGTCGTGTTACTGTAGTTCGCGTTTCCGCGGCATGCTTTATATTCCGATTTCAATGATTCGTAAATACGTGATTACTAGTGCTCCAAGACACGAAAACAGATTTTAAAAAATGCCGAGACGTTTTTGCCGACCCCAATTTTGACGGTTTTTGAGGGCTGTTTTAGTACACAAAGCTTTGTACATAGTTATAGGGGCCAACCAAAAGATGTTAAATTTTTCGATGCTACGTAGCCTATTTGCCACGAAACAAGGCTATACCATAGATATCTTATATACACTAGATAGCACAATGCCACATCTCTTTTAGTAAAATTGAAGCCAAGAATATTCCAGCGGTTACCCCCATTTGAATAGATGGCGGCCATGTTGGATAGTTTGAAAATGTATTTGGAATAGGTTTAACTTAATGTTTAAGTTCCCTGTTTAAGAAATAGAAAACATACGAGTCTTCTCATTCCATGCATGGGAATATCCTGAGTCTGCAATCACGGCTTCAATTTTGGAATTGCAGAATAGTTAGATGCACTATCTAGTGTATATAAGATATCTATGGGCTATACACTATAATGAAAAATCTATTCACTGTAAGACATACAAATAAAAAAATATAGAAATATTGTGACAGGATGCATTAACAGGATGAATCACAATTGACAACTGCACCCTTTACATACAACTATTTCAATTAAGGTTGTCCCCGAGCAAAGTGGAAATGTCGAATACGAGCGCGAAAAGCTTGCTGGGAATCGCTAAAAATTAATGAATTTTTAGCGATTCCCAGCAAGCCTTTCGCGCTCGTATTCGACTTTTCCGCTTTGCTCGGGGACAACCTTAATTGAAATAGCTGTATACATATAAAATAAGCAAAAACATAAGTTTATATATATTACAAACAGAAGATTACATCTTCTGATCTTGGCTATATGTATTATAGCGGCACAATACATCTTCTGATCTTGGCTATATGTATTATAGCGGCACAGTACATCTTCTGATCTTGGCTATATGTATTATAGCGGCACAATACATCTTCTGATCTTGGCTATATGTATTATAGCGGCACAATACATCTTCTGATCTTCGCTATATGTATTATAGCGGTACACTATCATCTTCTGATCTTGGCTATATGCATTATAGCGGTACAATACATCTTCTGATCTTGGCTATATGTATTATTATAGCGGCACATTACATCTTCTGATCTTGGCTATATGTATTATAACGGCACAATACATCTTCTGATCTTGGCTATATGTATTATAGCGGTACACTATCATCTTCTGATCTTGGCTATATGTATTATAGCGGTACACTACATCTTCTGATCTCGGCTATATGCATTATAGCGGTACACTATCATCTTCTGATCTTGGCTATATGTTTTATAGCGGCACAATACCAAAAAAACACATAGGATAGCAAAAAAACCCAATTAGAAAACAGACAGCAAGAGCAAAGAAAGGATAAAATGGAACGGATCTACTCTGCATGTGGGGAAAAATCCAACGTTTTCCTGAAAGTGGCGCGAGCTTTCAGAAATACTCCGGTTTGCTCCCACAACGAACGTTGACTGGCTGTGTAACTGCTGATTTACACTACCAAAGTTTCTGTGGTCAAAGTAGGAATTTTGCATTGGTAAATTCTACGTTTTGAATAATTTGTAAGGAATGTTTAAGGAAACTGACTCAGTGTTAAACACGTCAGTTTCCTCAAACATTTCTTAAAAATCATTCAAGACTTAGAATGTGATCACAGAAACTTTCCAAATCCCTACTGTGATCACAGAAACTTTCCAAATCCCTACTGTGATCACAGAAACTTTCCAAATCCCTACTGTGATCACAGAAACTTTCCAAATCCCTACTGTGATCACAGAAACTTTCCAAATCCCTACTGTGATCACAGAAACTTTCCAAATCCCTACTGTGATCACAGAAACTTTGATCATGTAAACCAGGCTTAACGATATTCAGGGATGGA